TATATATATATATATATATATATATATATATATATATATATATACTGAAATAAACAACTACTTGTACTGCTACTTGTACTACTATCTCTACTTCGTGGTTTTTCACTTATCGTGTGGGAGGGGGCATGGAACATAACCCTTGTGATAAACGAGGGACTACTGTAATGTAGACGTTTTGGCAAAACATACATAAACTTCAGGAGGGAGAAACACTGCGAGGCATGAGGGAGCACGAAGAGAGCCGAGACATCTTAATATCAATCAACCTTTATTTATACAGGTAAATCCCATAATAATAATAATAATAATTAATAATTTTAGGACAATGACCCGCTGAGGGAGTAAAGATCAGAGTCAATCTAAATAGAGCAGGGGGTGAGTGGAAGGTGGCAGCATCTTGGTGATTGATCATGGGAAGCTGGTGAGAGTGATAAGCTGGATGACAGGGTGACTGAGAGTGAGAGTGAGAACTGGCACGGGGAACACAGGGGGCCAAATCAAATCACGAGGGACATAAAAATAAAAACATAAACCACAGAGAAACATTTACTTAAAAGATAAACTAAATAACAGAAAAACATGAACTCCTGTATAACTATTCAAATCCCTCAGCTGTGGAGGACATCGGGCTACCACTTGTTGTTGTATGGTGCACACATTGTCTGAAGTACATGCAGATTATATTAAATTGTGTCTTTTGTTGTTTCTCTTTAAATTGCAGGCTCAGAAGTTGAAATCAAACTCAACTGTTGATGTCTGTTCGGTAAGTTTTTATTTTTTGACCTTACTGTATGTTTAAGTTTTGATCCTTTTATTCAAACTAAGTCAAGTTTCAAATATAAATGTAAAGTAAAATTCTATCAGTTACATTTAAAATAATTAAAGGTAGCTTTTATAAAATTCAATAACTGAATGATGGGCAGAAAACAGCTAAGTGCCTGGAAACACGATCATATTACTGTCCTGATCGATACTATATCATAAAAGACAACTACCGCCATTTTTTTTCTGTGCAGCTTGCAGTTTAATTGCTCTGTTTATGGAACTAAATCAGTTGCAGATCAAACCCCCTTCACTCCCTCATGAGAGTTAGTTTATTTTTCCACACATACATACTGTACATACATACATACATACATACATACATACA